CTAGATAAAATAAAATATAACATCATTTTTTTTTATCTAGATAAAAAAATAGATAATTTGTTTTTAAACTATATTATAAATAATTTAATTTATTAGTAATTACTAGTTGGGTAATATTTATTAATTAATAAATCGTTAATGTCATTTCTCAATAAAATAATATAAAATTGTATTTTTTAATACAACTTAAATAAAAATAAAATAACCAAATAAAACTGACAATATTTCAGTAAACATTTCTTTTTTTAACTATAATAATATTGGAATTTGGAGTCACTACTCGGTTCTCGTAAATTGTTGACTATTTCAGTATTTAAAAATATTCTTATTATGATATTATTTTTCTAGATAAGTTACCACAGGTAACCATAAACCATTACATTTATCTAGATGAGATAATTAGATGATTTAATTATTTTTATCTAGATAATTCCCAACACTTGTTACAAGTAACAATACTCAGTTTAAGATTAACGAATTCGTTAGTGTTAGACACAGTTAATTAAATCATAATATCATACCCACGATAAAATATCATATTTCAATATAATAATTTTTAAGATTTCGACTATAAATTAGTTACATTCAAATTATAATTATGTATATGATATTTTTCAAATTGTAAATTTATGAGGTCAACTTCCAACAGAATAATTAAGTAAAAATATACACTCAGATGTTTTGTCGTAGTACTGATCTAAACAAAATTGTTAAAAATACAATACATTTTTAAATTCTGAAACAATTGACATTTGGTAGATACTGATAATATATCAAAATACTTTGGTTTCCCGCCTGCGCACATTATTATTATTATATAATATTATATAATTTTCAACCGGAATAAAATAACAATTTCAAATATCCGGCTGGCTTGTTATAAAAACATAGAATCCGTCGCTAATGGTATAAACGCTCAAAGTTTGTTACAATAAAGTTATCATTAACGTACAGTGGACCGATATTTATCAATCTTCGTCAATCTTCGACTTCTTGTTATTTTCGAATAAAATATCTATATTCTATATAGTATGGACGGAGTAACTCCGACATTCATCGAACCCTATTGGAGACCAAATCGTCTCATTTGGTAGAAACGGCTGGAACCGACGCCGATCGTTATAGCCAAACCGTATTAGAGACCGTTGTTCGCATAGTCACTCGCAAGTGGTGGAAGCGGCCCCTTATTGTAGTGGTGGTAGATTATTTTAGATAAGTTATGAATTTGTCTTATGAAATTGTTTTGTGTCTTATCCAACAAAATTTGCATACTTTTGCATATTTTAGGAAAAGTGTAAATTTGAGTGATTTTTCGCTTTTAATATCTTTAAAAATATTATGTTTGGTTAGGTACAATAGGAACTCATTTTGATATTTGGGGAGGCCGAAGCCTAATACCATACTATTATAAAATTGAATAAGCTTAAAAAACTTTAGTAAATGTTTTGGAGGGCTGTTGCTTGTTAAAGGTATTGGTGGAGCTTGGCTACGGTTGGCCCTGTTTTCGCATATTTTACGTAAGATAAGTCTATATAATATAAGTCTCTTTGTGGCAAGACTGTGTTAAAACTATAGTTGACATCTAGATTCTAGATTGTACGAAGAAATGAAAATCAGTAGATACTCGTTCGTTTATCACGGTGTTCGAATATCACGTTATTGGTTATTTCTTATTTATTAACCTAGAGTACCAAAATTGTAATATGTCTTATGAATTTTACAAAAATAATATAAAAATGTAGCTGCATATATTTAAGCATATTTTGACAATTTTGACTGCATATTTCGATAATTTTAGTGCAACAAGTCAAGTCCCGAACCCCAAATTTATTTAGATTCGTAAGTTGTAAAAACTTGGTTTTAATCTATACTTAAAAACCCCCCATTTCATAAGCCTGGCTACGCCACTGTGTGGCTATAATGTGCAGGTGAGTAGATCGAAACAGGCTTCGAGAACCCTTAATTTTCGAGATGTACTGTTATCACCTTAGCTGACGGTCCATTTAACTATATAGTGGAGACGATTGGAGTTGACATGTTCGGATTTCACCAAAACGATTCAGCATACTCTCTACAAAAAGTGTTTTTATTTATTTTTCCAAAAGATGATTAACAACTCTATTGCGTGTTTTTGTCATGAATTGACTTTATTTTGTTTTTGTCATGAATTGACTTTGTTTCGTTTTTGTCATGAATTGACGTTGTTTCGTTTTTGTCGAATAAAATTATAACCTGTAAATTGTTTAATATTTTTTTACATAGTTGCACTGTTGTTTAGTAATAACGCAATGTAAATTACAAATTGCTGTAAGGCAATTACTTTTTCAGTAACGCAGCAGTAATTTCATTACATTTTACTTAAAGTAACGCAATTTAACAAAATTACTCTTGAAAAGTAATTTATATGAAGTAACGCACTAACGCGTTACTGGTATAGAATATCCGAGAAAAATTAATAATCAATTATATTTATTTTTAATTCCGATAGTAATTATATTACTAAACATTCCAGGAATGAATTATATCACTTTATTAGCACAAAAATAGTTCGGTTTAAAAATAAAATTTAATACAAATAATTATGACTAGGTTTATCACTAGCTCTATGATTGTAAAATATAATTGAATCATATATATTGAATATGGTTAAAAAAAAAAATGATAAAAAAAAGTAACGTTATATATTTTGCAATACACTACTTTATTAATGAAAAAGTAATTTAACGTGATATAAATAATTTTAGGTTACGCAAAATAAAATTATTTGAAGTAACGAGTAACAGAATTTTATTACTTTTTAAAAATAATTTACCCAACACTGCATAGTTGTATAAGGCACGAATAAGTATAGATATGAAGTATTGGCTCATTATATATTTTACGGCTTATATAGTTTTATGTACCTATTAATTTAATATCTAATTATTATATAGGTACCTAGTCAAAACCTCTATATTATTAAAAATTATTTTCTATATACATAAAAGAAACATAACAGGTTTATTTGACAAGTAGGTATTTAATGGTTTGACTTGTAATACAAATTTAACCAGAGATTTGAGTATAGGTCATCATAATATGATTATATTAAAAGAAAATCTATGGACGTTAAGTATTAATAGTTATTAAATTTATTGCCAAAACGTAATTTTAATAGTATAGCAACAAAGTCTTAAATTGTATTTAAAATGTTTAAAAAGGTGCTCTGATTTACAGTAGGTTACAAGTGGGTTACTGTATAATGGATGGTATTACATTTGAAGTCAATGATATTATATCATTGTATAAGAAAAACGATTCTGAGCGGAGACGGTATGTCAGTCTAGGTTTAAGACATATTAAGCATGTTGTATAGGAAATGGTAATATAAACATTCAGTGAAAATTGCATGTATCTACAGTTATTCGTTAAATATTACAACAAAATAAGGAAATCGCTACTTGAGAAATTGAGTGAATATCCAATGTTCTAAAAATTTGAATTTAAAACGCTCATAAAAATTTAATTTGAATTTCTTATAGACATTTTTTTTTTTTATAAAGGTAGATAATCTTATAAGAAATCTTGTATTACATTTTCAAATCTTAGATTTAAAAAGAAAAATTTTTGCGAATTCTTAACTCAAAATAATTTACTAATTTTCGTGATTTTTCCATATTTTGTCAATTTTTGAACTTTGAATGCTTATAAAAAAAAACTGTGACTAAGAATTTTTAATATTTTTCATCTGCCTTTGAAAAAAATATACTAGGAGCCTTCTATTAAATTTTCAAGCTTTTTTAACCAACAAATAATATTTAATTGTTATTTTTAGAAAAAAAACTAAAAAAAAAAAATGGAAAATGAAAATGTCCCTAAACAATTCAAAATAAATCAAAATATTTTGAAAATGTTATCGTGTATAGAAAATGCAAATATAAATAATCAGTGAAAATTTCATGTATCTACGGTCATTTGTTTTAAAGTTACACCAAAAAACAAATTCAATTTTGTGAAAAATCGATTTTGCGTAAATCTTTTGAAAATTACTTTGAATTTTAAATTTTTACCTCCCAAATGCAAAAACGATATTCACTTTCCAATCGAACAAAATATTTAAGTTGAAAATCGAAGCATTTGTACACAGACACAAAAAAAAAATAAAAATAAAAAAAAACAAACACACATCATTGTAATATCAATACATTCATCTTTCCATTAGAATCTAAGAAGGCTCCTAGTTTATTGTTTCAAAGACAGATGAAAAATATTAAAAATCCTTAGTCACAATTTTTTTTATAAGCATTCAAAGTTCAAAAATTGACAAAATATGGAAAAATCACGAAAATTAGCAAATTATTTTGAGTTAAGAATTCGTAAAAATTTTTCTTTTTAAATCTAAGATTTGAAAATGTAATACAAGATTTCTTATAAGATTATCTACCTTTAACAAAAAAAAAAATGTCTATAAGAAATTCAAATTAAATTTTTATGAGCGTTTTAAATTCAAATTTTTAGAACATTGGATATTCACTCCATTTCTCAAGTAGCGATTTCCTTATTTTGTTGTAATATTTAACGAATAACTGTAGATACATGCAATTTCCACTGAATGTTTATATTACCATTTCCTATACAACATGCAATTTTGAAAATATTTTGATTCTTTTTGAGCTGTTTACGGACATTTACAGCTTTTAATTTTTTTTAGTTTTTTTTTTCTACAAATATCAATAAAGTTTTATCTGTTTGGCCAAAAATTGTAAAAATTTAATACAAGGTTCCTGATATATTGTTATAATAGCGATTGAAAAATATTAAAAATACATAAACACAATTTTTTTTTATAAGTATTAAAAGATCGAATATATTGCATGTCGCATGAGAAAAATATCGTAATTATTTAATAAATTATAACATAATATTTTGGTCATGATATTTTACCGGCAATATTTTGTTGGTATATACCACTAAAATTATTATAATTATTAAATATAATTTAACACTCACAAGTTTACTGTTCACTGCTTCAATGGCATCGATTTTATTTCCAATAAATAATGTTCACCAATAAGACCATCTATAAAATAAGTTGAATATTACAAAAAATGTATCAGCAGTCTCCCTATATTGGGGGTAATTATTCAGATTTATATATTTATTATATTTTTAGACTTTTAATTTATATAATATATATATTATATATATTTTTAACTTGTGATTTAATATTTATTATTTTTAAAATATAAATTATAATTCATCCAACTAATATTTTGGTAGTAATATAATAATAATGTTCTGTTACCTGGGCTGGCAGCTAGAAATGGAAATTCTGGATCTATAATCAAACCATTCTCATAAACTTTTTCTTTCGACAATTGTTCAAATTTTTGACGAGCTAAAGTCTCCATTTCTCTACCATACTGTACCGATTTTGTTTGTAGACTGTCAGAAGCATATAAAATATTATGAACTACATTTTTGCAGCTAGTGTTTGACCGCATTTTACAAATTTGACCAAATCTTGAAGCTGTTAGTCGTATTTTACGTTCGTTGTACCACATTTCACTGTTGCTTTGTTCTCGAGTTTCAAATTCGATTTTTTTTACATCAGCTCGACCTAATTCTTCTAAAAATGTAATTTTTTTGTTTTCCATTTCTTCTGATGAAAAAAATTCTATTAGAGGTTCAGCCAGTCCATAATCTTCGTCTTCTCCATCCGTTTTAGATTTTTTAGCTTTTCTTTTTTCCGGAAATAATTGCCTTCTTTTACTGGTATTAAGCCGTATTCTTTGACGGTTCTTCAAAAACTTTTTTCCAAATATTCCTGTAATAAAACAATTGTGTAGCTAACCTATATTAAAGTTACTATTTTATTAAACGTAAATATGCATTTTACCTGGACTACATTTAGTTAATGTTTTATGAATTTGTCTTAAATATTGTTTGGAATTAAATGACACAATCGCAGCTTCTACTCTCGTATTATAATTACCTCTACTACTAAAATTCAATCGTTTTCCGGCAATGTGTTTATTAATAACAGAATTAAACTGTTCACAGATATTAGAAGTCTTATTTTCTAATAAACTTTCCGCATTAGTTACAAGCCTTGAAGCAATGTTCACTATTTCCCTCATCATTCCACTAGTTTCAGCTTCTGGGACTAAATTTAATTGAATTTGTTTTGATCGATCACAAAAATATGACCTACAATTTGAATGATAACCAAGTCTGTGATATGGTGCATTGATTAAATCACTTCTGAGACCTAAAATTATATATATTTTATTAGCCTTTTTATGCAATAAAGAAATGTTGGTAAATTGGCCAACAATAGTACAAAATATTATACACTATATGATATAACAACATACACATTTTAAAATAAATTATTATCCTACTCCAACCAAATTCCAAAATTATAAATAGTTACCTTTAATTTTTTGTGTTTTGGTAATATTGATTTCTTTTCTCCAATGTAATGCTGCCATCTGAACATCACATCTAAATCTCTTAATGTTTGATAATATAAATTTGCGAACACGAAGAGGGTAACTCGAATTTCTAGCTAGTGTTGTTAGTTTCGAAGCATAATTTCTCATAAGATGGTTTTTACACTCAATTTTTCTTATTGTAAAGTTAAAGCCATATGGTCGACTTTCGGCTAACCGCTTAGTAACGCTACTATCTCCATCACCTTAATATCAAAACATTATTTATTATTGTAATTATTATCATTATTATTATTAATATAATAAACACAATTTTTTTATAGACAATATTTTTTTTCAAATTCGACGAAATTTGGAGAAACCGTCTCCGCTCAGAATTATTATTCGTATACAATGATAATATCTTTGAATTCAATTTAGCTCATAATTTACCAATTAAACAATTGTATTTAAGACCATGCATTTCAACGCTGTTGGAAAATCCTTGTAGCACACCATCTGCTTCCATGCAAGTTGAAGCCTTTTTCCAGTTGAGGAAACATGTATGTACAGGTTTTTCTTTATCCTTCATACTTGAAGACCTTTGACAAATTATGCAATATTTATTTCGAATCCCTACAAATAAAACTTTTTGGGTTCTATAACCAATTATTGATGCCTGTAAACAAATATATAATAAATAAATTGATTAAATAAATTAATAAAATAAATATATAATATATACTATAGTATAAATACTAAATACTAAATAGGTACATTGGATGAACTCAAAATATTTTTTAATATAAATGTACTTAGATAATAAATTAATAAGTACGTACCGCGCCTGATAGTGCATCGTACTTGGTTTTATAGCTTCGTTTGGACCATTGCCCGTCCGCGACCACTGTAATAATTGGTACCCATCCAAATCCAAGCTACCAGATTCTATTGCCAATCTCCTTTCTTCTTCACCGGCTTTCTTCATTTCGTCCCAAGCTGTAGCGTGAACTATTTCAGCTACCTCGGTTTGAACACGCAAAAAACCAGTACTCGACAATGCAGGCAAATCAAGAAATCCTGATAGTTCTGCTAACTGTGTATGTCCAATACCTATAGCTTGGCAAGCATTTACCGCAGCATTATTAATATTCATTTCTGAATTATGAATATATTCCGAATGTAGTCTAGTTTTAATATTACACATTGTACACTTAAAAGTAAAAACTGATATAAATCCATAGTTCACTTCTGATTCATATTCCGTGTCAATAAACGAACAACCATAAGGACCACTATGCCGTTTTTTAATTTGTTCTATTATATGAGACATGTTGACGATTCTCCGACCAGTTAACATTCTAAAATAATAGACATTTTTAATGCATTTATTGTATTCAAATTATGGTAATAAAAGTCAAATTATTTTTTTACGAGCGTTCGAAGTTGGACATTGGATATTTACACGTCAATTAACAAATTGGCATACGATTTTTAATTTTTTGTTATTCAAAAATGAACAACCATAGATAATTTTAATTATGTTTATTTATCATTTTCTAAACATGATAAAACGTTCAAAATATTTTTATTCGTTTTTATAGCTATTTACAGCCACGATTTTTTTATAAGCGTATAGAGTTCAAATGTTGACAACATTTATCAAATAAAATATTTACAAATTATTTTGTAGTTAAAAATATATAAAATATTCAATTTTTATAGCTAAGAATTAAAAATTTAAAACTATGTTCCTCTTAAGTTGTTATAATTGGAGTTCAAAAATATAAAAGACATATAGACACGTTTTTTTTTTTAAATAGATTTTTTAAGTTCAAATTTGGACGAAATTAGTTGAAGTAAAGATATAATAACTTTGGTTAATTTGTTGTACTTTAAAAATATTATTTGCGGGTTATTGAAACTTTTAAAATATATTATTATATTCTATACACAATAACATTTTCAAATGCAAGTTTTGATTTAACCTTACAGATATACTTACTGAGTATTTGATTTATTTGTGTTAATTGATGATAAGCTATCATCTATTGTCTGAATACTCAAACTATGTTCAGACGCATTGGAATCACTATAAAGTATATATTATAAATAATAATAATAATAAGAGTTAAAAATTAAAATATATATTGTCAACTAAGTTATGAAAAAAAATATACAAAAACTCACTAAACTTCATTTGACCATTCAGTTACTTTCGACGATGACATTATAGGCGTAATCACGTGTTCAATCATAACATTTGCACTATAATTTAGGAAAATGAAAATATATTGACTAGCCTACAAGATAATAGGTAATAGGTAGTACCTAGACACTTACTTTTTCTTAGGAATAAACTCTTTGTTTGGTGATTGTATGTATTTAGAGTCAATAATTGGTGAAATATTTAAATCCCTAAAAAAAAAAATCGGTATACATTTTTATTATAATATAGACAGTATAGTCACTATAACGAAAATATAAAACTTTATTGGCTACAACTAAAATACGATATTATATTATATTTATTTTAAAATGTATATCGGTAGTCAGTCTGTTATTTGAATACAAACCAATCATGGGCGAAGCTGCGACGGGTTGGCTATAGAAACATTATAAAATTTGTGTTATCCTACATTCCTACTACGCCTATCTAATAATTATAAAAACAACATTTTTATTTTTTATGCTTACTCCCTTACATATTTTTTTCCATTATTTTCAATTCTAAAAAAATCAGTGTTTTAAATCTTAAAGATCTAAAAGAAGTTAAGTAACGTAATATATGTCGTACCACGGTGTTTAAAAACTTTAAATTCGACGCTATAAGGAAATGTGCGATGACACAATGTTGATATTAAAAGTGCGTAAAATCAGAAGGACGTAGGTACTTACTTGAATTGTGATAAAGTCGGAGCACACGGAGCAGATTGTACTATTTGGGCTGTAGGCTGAACAAAGGTAGAACCTCCTGGAAGGGAACCATCATATCCTAAATATGATCCAAAATTGTTGCTTGAAAAAAAAATATCAATATAGGCACAATACAATTTTAAGAAAAACAATTTATAATGTTTGTTGTACCTACCTGACATGTTTTTCTTCGGGTTCATGTTCAATTAGTTCATTAGAAACAATAGAAACAGAGTTACTATCTTTTTTTATTAGTTTGAGACGTTTCATAATATTGTTGATGGATTTTTTTTTAGAAATATGTGTTCTTTTTAATTAGACGTATTTATATACCTAATATTATGTATTATTATATTATATTATATATTATTATATAATTGTCAAATAAAATTCACAACATTTATATTATTTTTTCGGAAGTCAATAATTAGTACCTATGTATGTATTTTGTTTATCTTACTTTTTTTCTACACTTATATATTGTATAAATGTTTTTGTATAAATATATTTTATTTTATAACATACTTTAATAAAATTGTTCAAATAATCAAATGTATAATATGTATAATTGTATTGAAATAAATCACCTTTATAAATTTAATTTTATTTGTTACTTTTAAACTTTTAAAGTAATTACTAATTTGTATAGTTGTGTTGTAACGGTATCTAATACATTAATTATTTGATGAGATAAGTTTTAATTTTTATTAATTCTTATATTTTTAACACAATAAATAATATATATTATTTAGAAATTATGTTTAAATGTTTTTGAAGAGGTTTTTATAGATGTTTTATATTACGTATAGGACTCGATTTTCGATATTTCATTTTCAAAATCCATAAAATCGTTTTGCATTTTTTGTTTTTTGTTTTCACTTTTTTGATTTGTGAATAATTGCTATAATAAATTAAAATATCAAAAATCTAGTCCTATACTTCAACAGATTTAACTCTCCTCTATAACTTTTATAATAGGTTTTTTGCTCTTAAACAGTTAGCCGTGTTTTTGGAACTAAAAAAATAAGTTTTTTCTCACAGCCGCGGCTGTCACGGCAATACGGTAATGTAAGGACGGTTGCGGGCATCGTAATAAATCGAGCATAATTTTATTTTGTTTTATTTCACGTAAATAATAATAATATGAAAATAATGCAACGACGGGCGAAGCGCGGACCGCCGATAACAGACCGGTTTTGACCTGCTGGCGGCGAGCGCGCCTGGATGTCAGAGCTAGGAGGGGACAAACGCTGCCGCTAGAAACGACAGCAGCACATGACGGCCACAATTACATTTTTTTTCTGTAAAACATGCCAATTTTGTTCCAATAATACGGCTTACTGAATGGTTTTAGAGCAAAATACCTTTATTAAAAGTTGTAGAGGAGAGTTATATCGGGTGCGTGTCGAGACTCGATTTTTGATATTTCGTTCTCAAAATCGATAAAATCGTTTTGCGTTTTCACTTTTTTTCACTTTTTTACATGTGAATAATTGGTATAAAAAATGAAAATATCAAAAATCGAGTCTCGACACGCACCCGATATAACTCTCCTCTACAACTTTTAATAAAGGTATTTTGCTCTAAAACCATTCAGTAAGCCGTATTATTGGAACAAAATTGGCATCTTTTTGTACGGTATTTTTGCCCGTGTGGCGTCCTCTTAATATTAAATTTAACTCGATTCCCGATTTATACCTTGCGAATACACTTTTACTGGATACACTAGCACTTTCCTCTGTGATTTTTGGCTGATCCTTTGATTCTTCTTCACTTAATGATTTTATAGTGATATTTTCTTTCGATTCTTGAGTCATCTGTTCGTAAACAATATTTTAATATTATCTCGTATAGTAACGGGTTTTTTTTCTGTACGCTGACCGTTTATTATCATAATAAAATTATTTATAAAAATGTACCTTGTTCAAGAACTATATTATTATTATATATTATAATATCATATTATTAATATGACTATAATAATTGGACATATTTTTAGTTCAGTTGTTAGTTAATACGTTATGATATTATATTTGGTTAATATTTGACTGTGTATTGAGCAACCAACCTTTGTCAAAAATATTGTTTATATATTTCTTCAATAACTATAAATTATGTCAGAAAAATAAACAGTGAAAAAGGTATATGAAGTTTTTAAATTGAAATGCAACAATACAAACATTATCTTCTACCGGGACAGCTAGTTATATACATTTAGATATTTTACAGTATAATCTAGTACAGTACTTCTCAATTTTTTTTGTCATGAGGCTCTCTAAATTTAATGTAAAACTGTCAAGGACCCCCTTCATCAAAATTATTAATTGTTTTTTCTAAATTATTTATACACCAAAAATTACATGTACTATTTCACACAGATAAATTATTTAAATGTATAGTAAATTAATGTTTTAATATACTTTTGAAAAGTATTAATAATAGTTTTAAAATGTAATTATTAAAACTTTTTCCATAAAAGCTGAAAGTCTAAAGAAAATAAGCACTTATCTAGGATGACCATATAAATCTATCAACCATTTACCATATAGGTATGTTTCTATTCCAGGGCATCTGTAAATATATAATAATATATAGGTAGTAGCATTGATTTTATAATAATATACTAAAAAATACTATGAATATATTATAAAACCAATGGTGATAGGTGCAACTGAGTAATAAATGCTCATAAAAAGGTATTCAAAATATATGCATTTTGGTAACACATAGGTAATTTGAATACTAGTATTAAACTCAATATCAACATATTATGAATTGTATTTAAAATTAATATATAAATTAATAATTAATAATTTTTATTTGTTAATTGTAACACTTTGAAAGCATTATGTATGATAATTTAGTGAATTAACTCTTACATTTTTCAAATATTTTTTTTGTAATAGGAAAATTAAAAAATGAAGATATTTAATAATATAAATAATTGTATTTGATAAAAAGAAAGTATTTAAATACATGCATACAAATAATTTAGAGCATAGAAGTCTTTATGCAATGAAAAATTTTGAATTTTATTCCTTAAATAGTATTATATTTTAAATTTTCTATTGCTTTGGTGTACAAAAGTGTTCGTTTATTATTGCCTCTATAGGACATATAGCACTCCCGGTGGTGACGAATATCTGTAGTAAAATTTTCAATCAAGTTTTCAAACAAGTGACGACACCTTATCAATACACCTTGGACTTTACAATGATGTGTGGTTTTTTTTCATTTTTT